GTTTTTTTTTATAATTTGAAATGTAGAGCCGGTTGTCAGAGTTTTGTTGGTTTCTGGACCAACCTGCAACTTAATTTTAAATGTACAACCGACTTTAACTGTTCATTGTCTTCTACCCATTATATACCATTGAAGGGTTCGGGTTTGGTGTTTAATGCACGTTGGGTGTGATCCGACTCATTAGATCCAAAACGTTAGTGGTGACTVCGGATCTAACCATTCGCTTGCAATATACATAATTTTAAGTAAAAGGGCCAACCCAATATAAAATAATTCGAAATATTGTCTCATTTGGCATATTTTTTACTGTTATAAGGCTAAGAATTAGAGTTCAAAACTCCAAATATATATGTTAWAACTTATTATATAAGGTGAAAATAAAGTGCCATGWAGTGGCYRAAAGGATTYGAACACACATCTCACAGTAAGAGGAAACCACCATCAAACCATATGGCCTATTATATCAATTCGTTTTGTTTAAGACGTGTAACAAATATAAGATAATAAGACCTTTGCCCTACTTCTTTCATGAATTACAAATTAAAATGTTCTTATTCCAAATAGGCCATTACCATGTTCACTTGGTGAATTTTCAGGTTAAACGTGTAAGTAATTGTAGGGAAATTATTGGAGAGAAGATGGTAAGAAAACTGGTAAGAATCTGGTATGTTGTTGTGGGGCTCAGGCGTGCAATGGGTCGGGCGTGCATGCGCGCGCGAGCGGTAGCTGCGTGCGTGCGCGCACGGCTTGCTGCGTGTGTGCGCGTACGACTTGCTGCATGAACTGCCACATGTGGGTGTGTTCCCTTTTTGTTTGCCTATGGTATCATTTGACTCAAACCACTAACCCACCATCTAAAAAGAAAAATTGTTTGATTTCTAGGTTGACATTAAATTTTGTATTACATTTCCATCATTGATAAAATTATTTCTTATGCATAAACTTATCTTTGTTCAATATAATGAATGCACAATATTATAGATGTACCCAATATTTTATTTTTTATAAATATAACATTAGATATATGCCCAAAATTTTCTCTATCTTTTTTTTTTTGTTTTTGTGATTCTTTGTATTTTCTATTATTAAAAAATTTATTATTTGACTATGAAATCATTTCATTTCTAGGTAGATTTTGAATTTGACATTCCATTTTCATCATTAATAAAAATACTTCTTACATTTCATAGTTATTTATTTTAATTTTTTATTATTTAATTATGACATTATTTATTAATGCATTTGACCCTAAATGGTTGAATTGCTTACCCACCACTAGGAGGGAAGAAAATTGTTTTTGTTTTCAAATTACTTTTCAAAATATTTATTTTTATACTATTAAAATTAATATTGTTGATTTAATTACAATAATTTAATGATGAAAAAAATATATCTTGAATATGAGATTTAATGAGAGAGAATAAGAAAATATTTTTATTTCCAATTGGTTTTAAATTTTACATCCCATTTCCATCATTAATAAAAACATTTTTATCTATCATACTTATTATTGCTTAATATGTATGTTAAAAATGTTCCCAATTTTCTTAATTTCTATTTTTTTTTATTTTATCTATTTTTTAATTTTATTATTTATTTGTGGAAACATGGGTTAACCCATTTGACCTAAAATGATTTAATTTCTTACCACCACTTAGATGAAAATACTATTTCTGATAGGTAGATTTTAAAAGTACAAGATTTTATCTTATTGGAATTATTATTTTATTAAGTATGGATTTAATTAATAGAGCTTAATGATGAGAATAAAAAAATGACTTAAATATATAATTCAATGAACATGAATGCAAGTTAATCACTTAAATGTTGGATTTAATAAGAGAGAATTGAGTGCATTGAATATATTTAAATTACCTCTTTTCGACTCATTTAATATCAAGAACCAATTACCCTATTTATCCCTCATTTTTTATCAATAAATTTAAATCCAGAGGGGTAAATTTTGTTCTTAGAAAATTCAGAAATATTATTGAGGTCATTCGTGCTTTTTAAAGTAATAATTTTTTTTTTTAATTTTATCTATTTTCTAATTTTATTATTTTAATCATGGCAACATGGATTAACCCATTTGACCCAAAATGATTTAATTTCTTACTAGCACCTAGATGAAAATACTATTTTTGCTAGGTAGATTTTAAAAGTATAAGCTTTTATGTTATTGGAATTATTAATTTATTAAGTATGGATTTAATTAATAGAACTTAATGATGAGAAGAAACAAAAATGACTTAAATACATGATTCACTGAACATGAATGTAAGTTAATCACTTAAATGTTGGATTTAATGAGAGAGAATTGAATGCATTGAATATCTTTAAATTACCTCTTTTCAACTCATTTAATATCAAGAACCAATTACCCTATTTGCCCTCATTTTTATCAATAAATTTAAATATAGAGTGGTAAATTTTGTCCTTAGAAAATTTAAGAAATATTCTTGAGACCATTTATACTTTTTAAAGTAGTATAATAAATATAGATATGTATAGATTTCCTTTCTTGTAAGGTTAGAGAGAGCCGTTTAGCATGTTCATGGCAAAATTTAGGGGGTGATTGCCACATCAGCAAAATCATATAAAATTTGCTGATGTGGTAGTTATTTTTATTTTAAAAACCAATACGATACAGACATATTGGTGAAGACCCTGTTAAATTGGAATTGCGATCTGCCAACAAAACATGTTCCAACCCTATGAGACTGGGATCCACCATAAAAATGGGACCCGCCATGTATCAGATGTGCAGTATGAAATCATAATGGTAGAGGGTTGGAACGTGTTTTGTTAACAAGCGATCCAGACTCGTTAAATTGTGATTTAGTTAAGATATATAAATTGTATAAATATAACCAAACACACAGTAGTAACGATAAGAGGAAAACATTATTATATGTCTGATAATATATTGGGATTTTCTGTTGTTTGTATGTAAGGATTGTAAGAGTTTAGTGGCAGGGACTAATTAGGATGAATATTGCGGAATTTGAGCCCTAGGGCAGGGATTCATCACAAAACCAATTGACCACTGATTACTGAGTTGTTTAGATCTGAAGAATGAGTTTCCAAGATCGAGGGAAAATTATAGTAATTCCTTTTGAAATCTATTATCGAAATGGATTTTGAGTCCACAAATGATAAGAATTAGATGAGGTAACGTCTTGATGGGACCAAAACAAGAGTTAATTTTGACTGTTGGGGCCAACAGCCTATACTGTTGATGAGAGCACTTTTAGGTTGGGCACGTTCACCGATTCACGCCCATGGCTATGTTTATGGTTAAAAAGAAATAGGGAGTATTGAGTATTTTACCACACTACTCTATGTAAGGTGGCATTCCCAAAAATGTCTTCAACAGCATAGGCTGTTGGCCCCCAACAGCCAAAGTTTTTCCCCAAAACAATACATCAAATGTCACAATTTTCGGATTTAACTCTTCCTTAAAACTAGGGGCAGAGACAAGTATATTGGTGGGGGGTCGTTTGCCCTCCAAACAAAAAGTGGGTCCTTGCCCCCCATCCCCAAACAAAAAAAAATCTGTAATAGAAATAAAACTTCTTAGACTATTTTCTCTAAATCCTACTTTTAATCCCTATCTCATTTTTTTTGTTTAACTTGCCCCCCCCCCCCAAACAAAAAAAATCTGAGAATCAGTGACTTCTCAGCCGCATTGTTTGCACATAGCAGAACCAAATTATATAGCCATGCTCCTTATCCCCAATGACATGGACCAAGAAAGACGATCACTTTATGTGGCCAAGGCTTAAAGCATGGTTTTTAAAAATGACCCAGAGACTGAACTGGTCAGGGGTCCAGTTACCGGCCATTCGACCCGAACGATCGGTCTGTTCCGATAAAAAATAAAAAAATTTTAAAAAAATAAAAAACGATCAAACTGCCCGGATCAGTGATTTGCTGACCAAAATCAATGGTTTTGGGGAAAATTAAAACCGATCACCTGACCGATTCCCAGTTTCCCGATCCGATCGTCCGGTCTGTTCCGATTTTGAAAACCATGGCTCAAAGTATATTGTGGGCAGGTAAATCTATTGCTACGTATATGAGTGGTTCTGAAACTCAATGTGTATTATACAATTTGCATTAATACGTTGTAATATTTTGAACCATGTTTTTAACTTGGCATTTCCATTTTTATTTTGGGTTAAGGAAATAAAAAGGGAAAGAACAGTTTTTCATTAAGATTTGCTTGTTAGAGCTCACATCCTTTTGGTTGTTAGATCTGGTGGGCACAACGTCGTAAACAAGTTCAATGAGCATTTGATAAGTATTTTGATAAGTGTCGAAAGTGGGTTTTAATCTTTTTCAAGGGTGGGATGAGGGTATTTTAAGGAACAGATGTCAAAAAAATTTTCAAGTGCTTATTGAATGTACTTACAATATTGTGCCTACCAGATCTGAACTCGTTCTGGACCTTAAAGATGATCAATCACTCCAGCCCAGTGGAGACTAGGAATCTAGCTGGCATCTTGGCAGGAAAAATAGTTGTAGAAACCAACTTGAGACTCCCCTGAGAGGAGTGCATTTAGGCGGTTGTGAGCAGTTGGTTACAGTAAACAAATTCCTGGATTTAAAAAACAGAGGCTGATGGAGCCTCTGGTTTCTAGATGCTTAGCAAGAGGCAACCAACTCCTAAGAGGAGTACCTTGTTTTTGGTTTTGCAGTTCTTCGAGTAGAGAGGAGAATAGAAGAAGAGGGAGCTAAATAAGTGATTTCGAAGATTTCAGACATCTCAAACAGGCCATGGACGCTGCATTTGCTTCAACAGCTCAAAGTCGGTCTCTCTTTATTTTCAAATCATTTCAGAGCTTAGAATGATCCTTACATGCTTCTAATGTGTTTAGAAGCTCATATAGATGCTAACAATGTAGCTGAAGGGACAAAACAAAGAGAACTGATCATATCATCTTCATATTTTATTTCATTTTATTCTTGAACAATCATAGCTCAACTAGAGTCAAATACTAATGCTTCTTGCTGCATGTCTGAGAGCAAGTATTGACACAGGCCTCCACTTCTTCTGCACCTGCAAAATATTATCAAGCATCTGAGTGAGAAAATGTTATCAAAAGAGAGAGAAAGAGAGAGAGAGAGATCATACCAGGGTTTTGCTTAGTACTGATGTTGGAGCACTTGGAACATGCACAATCCAAATTGCAGCGGTAAAGAGAATCATTTGGAGGAATTGAAATGCACTGTTTCAAGCAACTTACAGCACAAGGTACGGGGGTCTGTTTGGTAACAACACAAGAAGCAAAGCATTTCACGTAACATTGTGGGAAAGAGGCAGATACAGTGGTTGCAAGCATGGACAAGGCCAACACCATAGCCATCACCATAACTGCCCTCATACCATTACCCTTCATCTCCATTCTCAAAAATATTAAACAAAACAAACCCTATTAGCTGATAAAACTTCTCTCAACTCTAAATCAACTATATTCTGCTCTCTTCATCTCTTCAACAAGAACTAGATTTATAGTAAGTTGAACCTGGCTATCCAATGTGCTCATTAATCTACTCATTAATTTCTGGTCACTGGTTGTAAGAGTAAGATGAACCATTTTTAGAAAATAGAGCTGCTTAGCCTTAATAGTGTCAGCACTTTTTGTCATGTGGAAGAGGTCAAGCAAAGCACTAGTGTCAGCGAGAAAATGAAATAATGGAACTGTTGCAGGGTAAAATCATAGGAAATTTGGCCTTTCTTTGTTTCTTTTCTCTCTTTTCTTTTGAGCCCAAATGACAATATACTATCAACCACCAAATCCAGAAATAAAGAGGATCAGATATGGTTGAGCACTCTTGCAAAAAGGATCAGTTGGTTCCAAGTATTAATACTTATGGAGGTGTATTTACAGCATTGGCAGTGTATCAGAGAAGGAAAAAGTTAATTGATCAAATTAAAAACTATTGAGGTTTATATTAGTTTCCTAGCTATTTTTTGAAAAGTTTACTGTATCTTAATTTCGACCCTTTCGCAGCATTTTCGAAATGATCCTAGCAATTCATATCTACATAGGAATTGGGATATGCTCCTCACACAGGGCGCCTCATAATGACTTTACAAACACATTCCATCGTGCATTAGAAACATTTCCTATAAATAATAATATATAAGTACGAGAGATATTTCCAATACATGGTGGGATGTGCCTGTGAGGTCTCCTTACATAGACTATTAAAATACATGTTTCTTTTATACTTAAGGCCATTTGGGAGGGTTTCAGTGTTGCTTTGGGGAGAAGTTATTGAAAATATATAATCTCACCGAAAAATCAATTTTCCCATTCATGAATATGTTTTATTTTATTTTATTTTGGGCTTTTGGACTTTTCACCAAACATGCCTTGAGAGCTTTCGCTGTAAGGCCTACCTTGCAACACCAGAATTGGCTCTGTGAAAAAAACCTTCCCTCCCAAATGGGCACTTAAACTCTTATAAGCTTTAGATTCAGTGTTTATTGATGTATTTATGGGTTTTTAAGTGTATCCATACATTTATTAAGTGTATCTTCAAGTCCATCATTGTATAACCTACAATGTTTAACGTCAGATATGTTCTTTCTTTGTCCAATTACTATCAAATACGTCAAAAAATTGACAAATAGTGCCCCATAATTATGAAACCACACGCTTTGGTTTAATCAATGTCTTCGATTAATAACTTTCTAAAGATAGTTTCACCATTCATCTTCTTCAATGTTCAATTCTTTTGGGGTGGGTTTCTATTTATTTTCCGGTAAGGTTAGAGAGAGAGAGAATAGTTTAGAATGTTCAAGAAAAAATTTAGGGGGGGGGGTCGCGATAAGAAGGATTTTTCTTTTCATACAAAAGCGTTTTCCACATCAGAAAAATCATACAAAATTTGCTGATGTGGCAGTTATTTTTGTTTTCTAAAACAAAATGGTACATATATATTAAGTATTAATTGATGAAGACCCCCTTAAATTGTGTTTTAGGCTTTTAGCTAAGCTAGTTATATAAATAACACACATAGCATGCATTTCTGTAAGAACTTTCTCTCAATCTCAACTTTTTATTTCTTTCTTATTTTCTATTTGATCAAATACAGTAGTAGCCAAGGTTTTAAAAACCGACCTCGAATCAAAACTGTTTTAGCCACCGGTTTCCAGGTTGTTGGTTCGACCATCTGTTCGAATGAATAGCCCCATTTCAACTTAAAAAATAAAAAAAAATAATTAAAATAAAACGACCAAAAACAATTAAAAGTCGATGATTCAACCATTTGGGTCAACGAACCACTGACCAAATCAACAGATTTTGGCCAAGGACCGGGTTAAGGGTGAAATGGAGCCAGTTGCTTGGATGATTCCTAGACTGAACGGTTCAACTCTCTGGGTTAACAGTGCTTCAAAAACCCGATACTAGAGTTCAGAGAAAAGCATTATTACATGTAGAACTGAGTTGCTTTCTAATTATTGTAAATTAAATCCATTAATGCACTCGAATATGTTTTCGTAGAACTATGATTGCATGCAATGGAGTTTTGTTTTTTTTTTTTTTTTTTAATTTCTTGTTTCTAATAGGATTTTGCCAACTAAATTCTACCTTCCTTGAGTTTATTTTTACACTCAGGTTGAGTGTCAGCTTGATAAAAATGAAAAAAAAAATTGAAACCTTAAGACAATGCTGGTCATACACGTACATCAGTAAGGGTGTCAATGGACCAGTTTTGGATCGGACCCCATTCAATCCATAATGGATTGGACCAATCCAGTCTAAGATATTTATTAGATTGGATTGGACCTGGTCCATCCATCATAAATTTATATTGGGTTGGGTTGGATTAAGCTAATATCTAGCCCTTTGATATAAGATAAGAATATAGGTTGTCAATGAACCAGGTTTGGATTGAAATCAATCTAAATCAAAACGAATTTGAATAGATTAGATGGTCCAGACATTGAATTAGACCGATTCAAAATGGTCCAAAAATATTCATTAAATTGAATTGAACCTGGTCCATTTATAGTGGAATCACATTGGACTGAATAGGATTGAACCAAATCCAATCCAATTGACACCCCTATACATCAGTGAGGGTGCTCTAAAGGATGCTTGAAATCCCCAATTGCAAAATTTTTTCCTACTATCGATTTGAATAATTTGGTGGATTCATGTATGTCTAGAATGAATTTGGACCTCTTACATTTTACGCTTATGCTAAGTCACTAACAAATGAAAACTCGTTAAAATTCACATGGGGAACCAAAATGTACTCAGTGGCGGAGTTGGGATTTTTTTTCTTTTTGATGGAGAGGGCCAAGTTAAACAAGAAAATGAAATAAGGAGTACTAGAAAAAATAGAGCTTCAAGAAAATTGGACGGAAAGGTTTGAATTTATTATAAATGTTGGTTTAAGAAAAAGTTTGTGGGAAGGGGTAAGGATCCCCCATCTCCGCCCCACAACGTTCCACAGCACATATCCCTGTCGTATATTAAGAACATTTTCTGATAATAGCATCAAAACCGATAATATTATCATTAAGAGATGTTCTCAATACACAGCAAAGATGTACTGTAGAGCGTTGTGGGGCGGAGATACTAACTCAACACTTTAATTCACATGGGGAATCGAAGTATACCACCCGTGCTGCATGCTGATGAGTTCTATAACCAATATATCAGCCGATATGAATGGATACGTATTGATACCTTAAAAAATGTTCAGACTGAAACAATCTCTCTCTTTCTCTCTATGTATTAAAATATATAAAGACTTGATCATAAAATTCAAAGTATCTTTGTACGCTACAGATGTTCTCTGCTGCTGATGCATGTCTATAGCGTCTTCTGATAGTAGATTCCGCCTCAGACTTTTTTTTTTTTTTTTAATTTTAAATTTTACTCCAGGTGGGCGGCCACCTAAAATTTTTATTAAACAAACCACTAATAGGACATGACAATAAGGAGTTCGGCCTCAGACCTGGTGATAAGGAAAAAAAAAAGATATGCATCGATATATTGCAATATTTAAAAAAAAAGGAAAAAAAAAGATTTTTACTAATAAGAGAACTAATCTTAGTCTGCCAAGCACCTTCATATTTTAGTTTTATTGAGGAGCCCACCTGCTCACCTACTGAACATAGCTTGGCAAGTTCTCCTACTGAAAATAGCCTGGTCAAATCTAGTAAAGAAAATAGAGAGATTTTCTACCATAGAGAATATAATTCAGTTAGCCAAATGAGGAAACCCTCTGTTAGGAAGCTACCCAACTATTAGTAGGGTGTTAATTGGATTGGATTTGGATCAATCCGATTCAGTTCAACGTGAGTCCATTAAAAATGGATTAGGTCCAATATTCAGTTAATATTTTGGACCGGTTTAATTCATTGTCTGAATCATCTAATCTGTTTAAATTCATTCTAATTTAAATTGGTTTTATACCAAATTAAGTTAGGGGTTTGAGAGCCTTAGTTTGCACCAAACAAGCAATGGCGCCTCTCGATCTAGCGCGCTAATGCGTGCAGTAGTTTTTCAGCTTGGATCGAAGTAGGAAATTATCCATCCGCCCGCCAGCAGCAGAGGGGGTTTGATTCCCGTTATACGCGATGTGGCGAAAAAGACTGATTCAACGAAATATGCCTTGCCTGCATTAAGATTTAAAACTTGTCGTCCACTTCCAGGAAAWGTTCGGAACAGAGAACTTACAATAATACAACGCGGCATTCTCCGAAGATTGAGGAACAAGAAGAGATCTATTAAGAGAAAGATTTATCCGAGAGAAAATCTTAACAGTTACATCCAATCCAACCCAATATAAATTTTATTAGGGACGGACCAGGTCCAATCTAATTTAATAAATATTTTGGATTAAACTGGTCCAATCGAATGTCTTATTAGTCCATCCAATCTGTCTTAATTGATTTTGGGTCCAGTCTAAAACTGGTCCATTGACACCCTTACAGCTAGGTTGTTGCCTTTCCAAGGAGGAAAATTCTCTCCATTAACTTGATTGTTAAATAATAAGAGATATTGGGAGTGGAGTTCAGTCATTGGAATTAACTGAGTTTGTAGAGAGAAAGGACAAGATATGGCTATTCAATGGGATTTTGGTTCCCATTGACCAAGAATTCCATGTTCTTTTTTCAAATTAATGTGGGGATTGGGGAAAGTTTATTTTCCTAGGTATCACTTACCTGAATAAATGATACCCATCTCATAGGTGGATAAATAACGTTTTCACCTGGGGGGAAAGTTTCCAACACTTGAACGGGACAAAAATGCCCCTTTTAATAATAGATTTTTATGGCTAAAATGGTCATTTTCTTTTTTTACTTGAAAAATAAAAAAGCATAAATAAATAAACTTACCTAGGTAAATGTTTTCAAGAAAAAAACTTACCAAGATAA